CAAGTAACATTTATTCATTCTGTTTAAACTTTTGTTTCCCAGTGAGAATATAATTGGATGTGACAGGCTGGTTGTGAACATGTGAAGTTGATAAGGTTTGTGCTTAGCAGAATTTCCTTTTTCCCTAGGCAGGTCAAAGAAGAAAACCATTTTCGATCGGGATAAATTCATTGCATCTAAAATTGCAATGCTCTTTCTCGCACAATGATCAAACAAATTGGATCTAGAACATTGTGAAAAATCAACGTGTTCGGCATGCGGAAGAAAGCTTTTGCCTCAAAAGTTATTTATCGTCTCTTTCTCGTTACGTGCGATAAACATCATCTATGCCTATTTTTGTTGTGCCTAGTGAGTATTCATTCGAAAATCCAAGCTCATCCCCTAGTGTCCGAAAAGTCAGGCGCATTTGGATCAAACTAAGCTTATTGATAGAAACCAAATTCAATTTGAGTTACAGGATTTCAAAGGATAGCAATTAATCCTATGGATCAACTTAGTCAAAACTTTTACCATGAATACTTTCTTTTTTAAAGTTCATTGTTGATGCTTGTTTCCATTGCTTTCGCTCGTCAAAAAGGGTCTTTCGCTCAAAGTAGAACAGAGCCTCGATTGCACACAAGAGAGAATGGAAACCATACTTTTTAAACGATCAGGCGCATTCCCGTGCTTCATGTTAACCCCATCAACTGTTGTTTTCATGATTTATTAAAATGATGGACGACATTGAAAGCGAGCAATATTTAATTTTGGAATCATTTCGCCGCATCTCAGCTAGTGCTTACCGCAGAAAACAAACAGTTCACATACGGTTGTTATTGATAATCAAACAGCGCGTGGTTACCAGGGCAATGCCAGACTGATGTAGACCTCCTTTTGCTAACAAAGCAAGGACTTTCGGCGCTTGATTGCTATTGTCTCTGCAAATCTTTGCATTTGAGGTTGTGTAAACAGCCCGAAAAGAAATCTCGCGCTCGGCTTGGTGGCCAGTCTGCAGCAGATGGCGAGCGATAGATGACGCACGTGTTCTGTGCGGCTGACTTGATGGGCTGGCTGTTTGTGTAGCCCTCAACCTGATCCGTTCACGTTCGAAATGATTCCGGAATTAAATTATGCTCGATTGCAACGTTGTGTTCTTTTTTCAAGTTTATTTTGGGACACAATTGCTTTATTTCTCCCCAACTGCGCCTTCATATTTCTGTTGTGAAAATGATGGACAGCAACCGTAGCAGAAAATTGAAAAGAAGATATACTGATGGTTCATGGTGCACTGAAGTGATCAACAAGCAATAGAATGCAAACGTTACTAACAACCGCAATCAACCACGACCCGATTTTAATATTCTCAGTGAACAAAATGCAAGCTTGGTTTGAGCATAGCACTAAGTAGAGCAGAACTGCAGGTTCCTTCGAAGAGGTAAATACAGGATTCGATTTTATGCGAATAATCACCAGGTCTCCGTATCGTTTACAGTGCAATAGTACATGAGCTTATCAGTCGATGGTCAGAATGATCAAAGGCGTTTACTGGGTCTGTGGATTGTGAAAAGCTTTCCAAACGTTTTGTTCATTGCATCAACCGTAAACTTCATCTATGGATCAGTTCAAGAATTTAGTCGAATTAATCTCACCGAGTCGGTATCCAGCACAATATTTGCTCCGAAGGAGTACACAGTGACCGTCAGTTACTGTAAACAATCTCTTAACAGAAGTAACACAAAAGGAAGCAAAATTGTTTAGGAAGTGTTTAGATATGTTTTCATGTTTTATCGAAACAATGCAGTAACTTGGCATTTATTAAGTTACAGTTCGAAAACTGAGGAATATCTATCGAGTAGCAAATGCTTTAACATATTTACAACCACAAATGCCAAAAGTCACTTTGATATTTTTACCAAATTTTTAAAAATTTGTGCCCAATATGCTTGATTACCTGTCCACGATAGATAAAAATAACATCAACATCATTCCAGATTGTTTTACTCAATCTAGTGGGTCTTGTCAAATTGTGTGAAGTCTCGACACTGTTGATTTGTTTTGAAACGCAACCATGCAATTCTATGCATCATGCGATGAGTGTTCAAATCCTGCCGTAGCTCACTCTCATAGAATGGCACATTACTGGCTGGCGTCGTTATCGACCTCATCAGCATCGATAGGCCTACCATTTTTGATCCGTATTTCATCCAATAAAACTGTAAACCGTTTGAACACAATTAAAGTCAGCCCGATTCAATTGAGCGACATGTTCTTTCTAAACCAGAGACTTAAATATATCAAATACGTCGACGACGAAAAATGGATATTTGAATGGATTTTGTGCAGCAGTAACTAGAGTAGCAATATAAACAGTGTGAACTTCGATTCAGCGGCTTTTGTGTAGCGAAATGTAGATAACCCAAAGGTTTGTACTGTCGAAACGCTGCTTCAAGGTATCAGTAAATTTCAATATCAGTTTGATGTTGATATCACTTTTGATGTCGCACATGTGGGAATGTTCATAAAAATGATGTAGCTTTTCTCGAGGAGGCTGCTTGAAGAAACCGTAAAACACGTTCGTTCAATCTTTGTTGAACGATTGTCTTTTTTTCTATATACACTATAGATTCCTACAAATGTCTTATACCGCTGAGGTTAATTTTTCCTTCTATGCCAGCCGTGTTAATAGTAAATGTTAGCGCTTCAAACTCAAAGGCCTCACAAATAATTAGTTTAAAACTCTTGTTTTTGTCTGGGGTCTCCATTCCCCTACCGAACGTTACATTAGTACATTAACAATAAACTGGCACAGGAATTATGTCTAATTAATTGAAAATACTGCGATAAGATGATCCAAAAAACGTTAAACCTGCCTGATACTGAAATGAAGGTGCAGAAGACGGTAACAGGATCTCTTACCTCAAGTGGGCACCGTGGCCAGCGGCACTTCGGTCAACGTTGTGCATTCAGACAGAATAAGTCCAGAATGTGTGATGTGGTTGTCCATAGATAAACCATCTGTCATCATCGATCTAAACTAAGCAATTTTCATACTTCGAGTGCTAGACCTCACAGTTCATCAAACTTCATTTTTCCAATGAATGCTCACGATTTGAAATGTCGTATAAAGTATGTTCCTACTCATTTCAATGATCACACTGTGAATTTCAAAGTCTCTACATCCTCTTATGTGGTCATCATCTCCGCAGCCACCTGGCATTTTCTGGATAGACCAATTTTTGCCGCAAACCACCTGTATTGCCCGGGTAGCATTTGGGGAACAAATACTGTTTATTACTCAGTTCAAATATCAATTCTCGGTTCGTGCTAACTGTTTTCCACCCGGACGAATTACACATCCCAACTTGATCATCTAAATCTGTTTGTCATCAATTAGATAGATCAATTGAATTTGTGGCATTTCCTTTTCTGTGAAATTTGTAATTTTTCTGAGAGTGAGCCTCACAGTCAAGCAAAATCATCGACCATACGCCAGTTAACTGTGCAAACATGAGTGTTGTTCACGGGGCTTTGAAATCTAACTATTCAAACATTTTTCTGATGGTCTTGGTTCAGGAAATAAGACAAAGGCGATCGCTAAAAGTTGTGCACACTGGTCAGTCTTGGATCAGCAAAATGAACACAGAGTTGAAACCTACCACACTTTTTTAATGGCAGCTAAACTGCCACCTAAGGCTGAATCTCAATCATGGCAACATTCCACGGCACCCCAGTCATGCATTCGTATTGATTTTGCCGGACCTGTCAAAGGTATGTACTAGTTGGTAATTGTAGGTGCATATATCAACTCGCCCGAAGTTATTCCGATGCGTGTTGAACATGCGCCATCAAAACAAACCTCAGAAGATTATTTGCTCAGTTCAGCATGCCTGAAGTCCCAGTTTCAGATAACGGCCCACAGTTGACGTCTTCACAATTCGCGGTGTTCTGTTCGTCAAAGAGCATCCGCCATATATAGCGGTGTCATATAAAACTGAAAATACTAACATCAGACTATGAACGTTCAAGGCAAGAGATAACTTTCGTGTATGTAGTTTTTGCATATCTGGTTTCCCGGAAAGATTTTTAAACGAGATAGATTAGACACAATTAAAGTCAGAGTGGTACATTTCGTATGGACCTAACATATCAACCACCTCAGACTTAGGACTGGGCGACAAGACTGAACGGAATGCTCCTATGATTGTATACCCATGGATTTGTTGATTGATCTTCGGATTATGGACAAAAATCTGTAGGGTTTTAGCGTTACCATCGAAGCACCTGATCAATCTGGCTAGCGGCGCTCAACCCGAACTCAACCTCCAATATACCTACTGAATATTTACCACAAAGATCAAACTTATGGATCGTCAGTGCTGGGATTAGAGTTCGAATCATGTCGCAGATCACTCGCATCGATTGGCACTTGACTGATCGGTGTCGTATCGGCCTCTCCAGTATTGACAGGCCTAACTATTTTTTACCTTCATTTCATCCATTACTCCTCCAAATCGTTCTGACACAATCACAATCATCATGCTCCAGTTCAGTGGCACGTGTACTTGCTAAATCACTGAATTACGAATATATCCCTTTGATCGATTGGTTTCACTGTTAAATGTTTGGGAAAATTCACTTCATCAGAGTAAACAGTTTCGTGCTGAACAATTCAGAATGGATTAATGATACTTTCAATTGAATTGCTTCGGTGCTGAGTGATTCGCTAGTACGAATGGGGATAGTTGACCATGGAGTGATAATATTGAACCACATAGGGTGCCATGATGTATGTATCAATATATCGTGGTCATTTGTTGTCATTGTTCTCTATGATGCATGCGTATTCTTCATCACATCTTGAAGCATACAGAATCAGATTATGATTTGCATCACTCAACGGACTAGAAACTATGTGCTTAAATTGACAGTAACTCCAATCAGTGACCACATTAAACCAAAGCAGGTCACCCTGTAGCAGGTAAAGTGAATTCGCATTAATAATGGTGTAACTCTATGTTTAAGCTCGGCCATTAGAAAACAATATGGTCTTCGAAAAATGCGAGGAATTCTGGAACATAGTGCGAGAGAATAAAAGTTATATGGGCGGGTGCTGGGCTAACGTAGACGGAATGCAGGCACGTAATCAGGTATATAAAGAGTAGACAGACGGAGTTAGCGTGTTATTCTGACCATTGAAAAACCTTGTAAATAGCATACAGCTGTTTCATTTTTGTTGAGAATAGCCAGAGATGCATATTCCCTGAATAAAAGAACTTCCTAATTTAGTGCTAGAATCTATTACCTCATGGAAATGAAATCTTATTGGTGTGGTTCGTAAGAGACCTCACCGGAGATTTACCAAAACACGAATGCTTGTAAACCAATGACTGTAGTGATTTTTTTGTAATCTATTTGAAATCTGCAATTCGCCACATTATTTCCCTTGTTTATTCATACTCTCCTTATCCCCTGCTAGGCTGCGAAAAGGACCGGCAAATCATTGGGATCTGTTTGTGGTCTCCTCTATCAATGTGGTCCTCTCAACATTCTGTTTGCCCTGGGTTCACGCCGCTCTACCCCATTCCCCACTGCATGTGAAGGCTTTAGCAGACATTGAAGAGCGGGTCGATATTGGACATCATATCAAGCAAATGTAAGCATTAGCTGTTTGTGGCCTTTCTCTATTAAACAATTGAGTACGCCTCCGAGAGGAATCGCATTTTCATCAAATCACCACACGTACCAAGTTTTCTGATCTCACAACTTATTGCAGTCGGCACCATCAAACGTGAAAAAGTGAGGTGTTCAACTGATGCCCATATGAACATCCAATTTGCACGATTCGGGAAAAAAGGCAACCGGGATATATGTAAGCACCGTAACGTTCAATGGAACTGCCAAATACGAATTGTTACGGTTGATGCGAAGCATTTTTGACAGCTTTAGAAGACAATGTCTCCATGCCTTCCGACAGAGTGATGAAATAAACGAACCAGTAAAGCTAAATTGATGATCGCACAACGAATTCAAATGATCGAGATTCGAGATAGCCAAAAAAATTCGTACATAAATAACACTCCATTTTTTCTTTCGCTTTAAAAGGTAGTTGTCGTTGTTAGCATACCTGATCACGTTGTTTATGCAACAGTACAGGTAGTTAATGACAAGACTATAAATACCAAATGTCCCCACGTTGCCTATATCTGAAATCTCATTTATTCGAAAACTCGGTGAGTCATCTCAGAAGTTTTTACACTCATAAAATTGCTACGTATTTCAGAAGTGTGTTTAGATTGTGATGCAAGCGTCCATAACTGAACGGAAAGGTATGCGACCATTTCCGTGAACAAGAGTTGAGCAAGCCAGTTTAGACCAACATGAAAAATGGAATTGTGTAACTTTAAACCTTTGATAGATTTCAATTATTGAGTATACTTTCGGTTAATGACGTATTAAGTTAATACGGTGAATTTGTCGTGTACAAAGCAAATGAAGCGTGAAATGGCATGTCGGAAAGTACTGGACAGTTAAGTTTAATTGACATTTGAAATCTATCAACCAGACTGAGGTTTAAACCGGAGAGCTCACAGACGGAAAGTTGTCAAATTAAGATATTTGTTTGGCAGATTTGAAGTTTGTATGTCGATTGTGAAAAGTTCAGTAGCCTCGGTGGGATTCCAACCCACGCATCAATCAATATATGTCCATTTGCGGTAGAATGCCAGTAGTGACCGGTAAACAGCACTAGGAAGTAGTTTCAGTCTTGTTGTGATTCATCAGAAAAGAGCATTATGTGCTCAAACTGCAATCTTTTGAGACGTGAGGCAAAATCAGTGAATCTGAGAAACATTTTCATCAATCAATGAAAGTAAGAAACTATTATTTCAAATGAAACCGTCAAATATTGATTGTCTCATTCAAAACATACAGACGCCAAGAGAGATCATGGTCTCGAGTATACTTCCGTGGTTAGAATTCCTGTAATTCCGTACATAATAAAAGAGCTCATGAAGGAACTATTTTTTAGGACCGACAAAGAACGCTGTTTTGTTCTTGATGTGATAAGTCGCGAGTCAGCAATTTTGCTATCCTGACCGTGTCCCAAGCTACTCACTTACGACATTGAGGAGATATTTTATTATTTAATAACAAAAGAATTTAATAACAGTCCCAGTTTTGTTTATGCATCTTCAAGAACAACCAACCTTGTTTCTGACACATATCTTGAATAAGTGTTAAATGTATTTTCCGGTTTACGGAATACCCAAAATAGATTAAAAATAGTGGTTGGAGGTTAATCTTTGTTTAGTTCCAAAAGAGGGTTTTGCACAAAGCGCTGAAGAAGTATACCGTTTCTACAATTCCTTGCGTCATGTCCAACCAAAATGTCAGAAATCATAAGAACATCAAGATTGATATGGCGCAGTTTGGGCCAAATAACTATGCTTTGTGCTAAAAATGCAGAAAAATTTACTTGTTATATCATAGATACATGTATAATTACGAAAGTGCATAATAAACGTCTGCATTATACGGGAATACTGACTGAGGTGGATTGGATGGAAATTATCTGGTGGAAAATTCCTAAAATGAAACATTGAAGGTTTGAATAGCTAATGATCTTTTTATTTAAAGTAAAAATATTGTTCCTCATATTCATACAAAGAATCCTTATGGCAAACTTTATTTGATATACAATAAATAATCGAAAGCAAGCGATTGCAAATAGAAAGCTCTTGGTTATTACATCTTTGTAAAACTAATGCGGCATTCCAATGATAAGAACGAAATTTGGACCTGACTGTGTGACCATCCTCTAATGATGAAAGAATACAACAATTCAAAACGCAGGTACAGTACAAACATGCTTTACTTTCGCATCCACCGCTTAGAATTTGTAACGTTTATGTGACCCCGGTTGTTGAATAAAGCGCAAGTGTTCAGTGTTTATCTAACTCTTTCAACCGCTTCATATGTGTGTGCTAGATTTCCATCAATTGAATCTATCAGTGGACCAGTTACCTTTACCCAAGATAGATATATGCTATGGATTCGGCTTCCACTAAACTTTAAGTATTCTACTTAGAATTAACCTAGGCAGTTTGCGAGCGATATGCCTATTGTTGGTTGCACAAAATAAGACATTATTGGTCCATTTGGTGTATTTTACTATTTATCATGTGTGAGTTGGTTGGTGATGGTGTGATGTTACAAACCTTTTAAGAAATTCAAATTTGTTTTTTTTTACGCGCCTTTTTGCTTCTAGCTATCTTTCGAAGCTGCGATTGGGATAAAGAAGGCGATTACTCCAATGGCAGTGATGTGTTACATGGATACGAGACAAGTGATTTGTCGTGGCGATAAACTCTACCAAAGCGAAGATTAGTTGGTGACATTAACCTTTTGTTTATGGCACGATCAGACTGTCGGGAACTGCTCTTTCCCCTAAATGAGATATCCACATTATGGGAGGGTTATGTAAATACAGTTTGTCTCATAATGTGGAGATAGTGGTGATTAACTTCACTGTCACCCACATGATCTGGTTCTTATAGTCCCTTGTTCAAACCCAGCCACCACCGCCCACATTTGCTGGTAGACGGTCTCGCTCACGTCCGGCGTTGTACCAGACTCAAAATAGCGGGACCTTGTGTGGTTCGTCACTCCATATCCTGGGGTTTGGTGAACGTGAACAAAATCCATCTGTGATAGTGGGGTTTACTACGTCTGCTGTTTTCACATAATGTGTATGCACTAAAAAGACATGAAGACGTTGAAAGATATGGTTCAACTTAGAAGTTAGCAGTTACTTGCTAACTTCTAAGTTGAACCATATCTTTCAACGTCTTCAACCAACTACGTTTTGCATCTTTTTCGCTCCCACCGAGACAGCTTCATGCTGTAGCGACCACAGACCAATACTGAAACTAACTTCTTCAAACCCCTATGCCGGAGTAAATTCTGACCGTCGTGGTGTTTCTTTCAGCCTTTCCCAGCAGATACAAGGACGGCACATAAAGGTATACGACGGTTAAGTATTACCAAAATGCAACTAAATGATCAGGAATCGTCCATAGCGATTAATTTCTTTGGAGAACGACTACCAGTAGCCAACACATGACGAAGAAACTCATCCCTATCCACTCAATTTTCCCACCAGGCTGGAACGATGTTTCAAATATATCGGTGAGCCAATATAGATGAGCAATTAGAATCTTCACCTCNCACCTCGGAGGCTCCAAATCTCGCACAATAGAGCAGAAAACTACGACCGACTGCGGATTTTGTGTACAACTCCTCAACATTCCATTTAGCTTTCACCAAGGTTTGAACTTCTTCCATCTGGTAATCACAAACTGCAAATACAAGCAGAGACTCCTGCCACTTACTTTGTACTTGAATGGTGAGGGGTACTTCGATCAACAAGTCAGACTGTCTCAACATTGTAACCCAAAAAGGTCACTTAATCGGCGTTTTCTGGGCCAAGAACTTTGTCGCTTAAAAAGAAAAAGCTCCACCAGAGAAAACATTCTTTAGAACGTCCCTAATGATAAATTTAAAGAGGAATAGGGATAGAGGGCGGCCTCGTCGAACATCATTGGAGATTGGCGAAAATTGTTCATAGATCCCTAAGCTACTTGATTTACAACACTTTGAGGATGGAACCATATTGCACAAGTACTCGATCTCTCAACAAACAGTCTCACAGTATAGTTCTATCGATGCAGTCTAGGAATAAAAAAATAGTTCGTCTCTGGTAACTGGAACATTTATGTAGCAAATATCGGAAAGTGAAAATTCGATCGATGCATCTAAGACCGACCCGAAATCCAGTTTGCTTCTTGTCGTTATACTCTTCACACAAATCGTTCAATCTCAAGGGAACGACTGAAGCTACTGTGATCATGCTGATACCCTTATGAATGGTGCAGTCACTGATCAGGCCACTTTATAAGATGAACATGACAATTGATTCCACCCGAAGAGAAGTAGGTCTGTTTAGAATTCCAAACCTTAGATAACCGAGACGCCATTTATTCCGCAAGCCTTGTTTCACCATATTAAATTAATGTTAGGGAAGGGGCTTCAAGTCGCATCGGTTTGTGCCATTTCATGGCTTGGATCTCCCTATAGATTTCAACCGCAAACGATAGTTCTATCCAGATTGATCATGATACTTTTGTCGAAATAACTGTATGAGACGATGATAATGGTATCTAGCTGAACTGTAACTTGAAGTGCTCCCCTTGGCGAGCAAGACTTTGTTGTTCATAGCGAATGGACGAGTTATCAGCTTCACAGATTTCTTCGTTCACACCTGAACGCTTGTACGTTTGATGAGAAAAAAACAGTTTATGGTATTATTCTATGACGGTAACAGGTTATCTCCGGAGCAATTTGACACAATCATATTTCACGGTCTTTGTCTAGGTCTCATACAAGTCCACTTTTCGTATGCTCACCCTCGGTCGCGGTTGATCAGCCTGCGTCAAGGAGACACAGAGGTACGGCGGCAATCCAGGGTTCCATGACGGGACACGTCAGGCCACAACTCACTACGCCAGCAAATTACTTATATGCGATCTGTGGTGACTGATGTTATTGGGTGTGATTGGTTCTAGCTTGTGAACCAGAACGTTTTGAAAAACAGTTAAGCAAGATGGTGAGGCAACTCATTGTACTCTAACCGCTGTTGTATCGTGTGGTTAGGACACCCATGGAAGCACGTCGACAGCTTAATGCAGACTAAAGCGTGGTCGGATTCGAAGGGGTTCTCCATCAAGATCGTCAAGCCTGTATTCAACCCTGCCATTTGTGACCAATGGTGATGTGGTCAATCTGTTTAAGTTTTTGGATTGAGGACAGCAGATGCCAAGTGATGTGTAGACTATTAGGTCGTCTGAAGTTCATACTGGCGAGGAACAGGCGCAGGTAAAAGTTGTTCCCTGTTTTCGGAGCGACCGAAATCTAGCCCAAAGGATCTTCTAGATGCGCCTCGTTCATAGCTTATGATAATCTATATGTGTGGGATTGTCAATGCAATTACAAGCATCACCACAAATACTAACACCAAAACAACAGAATAATCAACAAATATTTCACTATATACCTAAAGTACCTTGAACTGGTGGGGCTTAGAACTGCGATGTAGTCTAAACAAGAGCTCTCAGTGTCTGTGCTGATGATCCCCTATTCACTGAATATCTAATTCCTGCATTTTAAATTTGATAATTTATTCAGTTTCTGGTTAGCTGTAAACTCCGTTATAGCAGTGATTTTCTTTCAGCTATACTCTTGAATGTGAGTCGCTGCAACATTCAACTACATTTTATGGTAATTTTATTACAATAAATTGTTAATGAAAAATTGGTATTTTTTACTTATTCTAAATTTTCATTCTTCAACATGTCTCGCTCTTTCTCCTCCACTCCACGATTGTCTGCTTTCAATGCCCTCACAACACGTGAAACTAATCAATCAATCACAGTATCGTTCGAGTTCGGGAAACTCGTTTGACGGTGATTATCTCTCATTTAATGATTGGATTTTCCCTGTTCATGGTCCCTGTCCCGTTGAAATACATCCCGCCGGCGGTGCTCAACGGACTGTTTGTATACATGGCTGTGACAGCAGTCTATGACAATCAGCTATTCGAACGGATTTTACTATTCTTCACAGAACAGGTGAGAGAGAAATTCTCATCAGTCAGTCAGTTTTGTGTTAATCTTAGCGCATAGAAAACTGCTTCCAAATTAGCTATATGTAATTTATCTTTTAGTTTATTTGCTAAAATTCATGATTACCGAATCAAAAAAACATCGCACAATGGTCATTGCTACACACTCGAACACACTGAGACAAGACTTGATGGTTGTGGTTGATCCATGAATAATTTTATGCCTCTTTACGTTTCTCATGGTTCCACAATTAAATTCCCTACTGACTTATTGGACGTTCTGAAAGCTACTAGACTGTTCAGTTAATAATCAAAACTTCTCAATGGTATTGAACAGGAGCAAAGATTGAATCCATCTTAAAGTGAATGAAATAAGTCTTCTTGAGACTGTCTCGAAAATGTTTTCAACGTGTAAAAGTGTGTTATGCCCTGCATTTTTATTGTTGAAGCATTACTGGTCCACGATTTGATAATTTCAATTCCTGCTATTCAATTGCTCTATATATTTCTACCGCACTCTTTTATTTGAAAAACAATAACGTTTACAATACTGTGAGTTGAGTGACAAATTCCATAAAATAATGTTCCGATTAGATCCTTATGTATGATTTTCATAAGAAAATGTAATCTACAGTTTGATGCATAAAAACTCCCCTGTTAGACTGGCTGCGAAATTTGATTTACCTATAGATCGGGTATTTGTCGAGCACAGTCAACTGATTGATGTTCAGTAAACTGCTCAGATCCATTCCGAGCGGTCTTTGGTTAGCGCGTTGGATAAATAAATTCTGGTGCCAGAGTTTGACTCTCAGTAAATTTGTTGAACATGAGGCGGTGATGATTACGAACAAAAAAGCTTTCAAGGCTTTTCATTGATCTAGTCAGACAGCTTCTCGAATCAACTTCCAACAGCCTGCTTGCCAAAGTTGAGGAGGAAGGGATAATTGGGACTGCATGTTACTTATAATAGTTCCTAACAAAACTGACTTTAAAAATTCGATGAAAAAAGAATGAGTGAGGAACGAGTGTCGAAGCATAATAACGATAAGAAAAACAGAAGGCATTGGAAACTAGTTTCAAAGGCTTCTACTAATATCAATCCGAACAACCAAGTAGGTTGGAGTAGTTACCACACCGGTTCTCCATGGGACAATGGGATATCATTTCTAAATTGAGTCAACTTTACATAAAGATCATTCAATAGATAAATTGTTTTGTGGAGGGATTCATATGGGATAAAATATATTCTAACTGATTATTCGAATAATTGAAGTTAAAACATTTGGGCCAGGGATTGTTCTGGGTCTGTGAAATTACACAAGTAATAAAATAACACATTATTTGAATTTGGTGATTCATTCTTTGTATTAGCAACTGACTGGCTTCCCACGCTTATGAACGAAATTAATTTGTAGGCATTCCTGAGTTTATAAGTTTTCTAGATTCTGATGCACCGCTGCGAAGATTGATAGGACAACTAGATTTTGCTGTCACATAAGGCTACATTATTCATTTCATTTTTTCTGTCACTTTCATAGAACTGCATTTAAGATTTTGTATGCAAACATGAGAAACTGAGAAGCTTTAATATCCAACGTCACTTATAATTGAATTAACGGTAAATAATATGAACACGTTTCTCTGTGTGACCTCAATATAAATCCGATAGAGGTTGTTTTCAGAAATGGTTCAAAATATTGCCAACAGCAGAGTATGATGGAGAATATGCACATACCCGAAGCTCCCACAACCTGTGGATGCTGAATAACACCAATGAAAATGTAGGGTTTAGCTTATAAAATTTACGACAACGTCCTACGTTAGTCATCATGTATTATTCGGTCAGTACAGATGATATGTGAGAAACCAGGTAGTTTCTGCTTATAACCAATATTGAGGTTCTAGGTTTGTCTCCCATACAAAGTTTGGTATTGAACCAAACTCCTGGCCGTATTAGGCGAACTACATCATCCAACACTTCCATACAACTAGTACAACAACTACATACAACTACATTAAAGTTCGCTACGGCAGTAACGCTTCTAAAAGTCCGCTGTCTTTACAACGCAGTCCTCAAAATTCAGTGTTTGAGAGTAAACTAAGACAAATATTTGAGTACATGACCTGTGTATTTATTCAATGGGGTATCGCGTGTAATATATATCCCGTAACGCAGATCAACGAGATGTACTCATTAATACCCGGTCGACAGTGTACAAAGAATTAGTTAGATTTATTGAAGGCTAAATTATGTTTTCCGATTACGGAAAAGAGAGACAATAAGAACATAAATAGAAGAGTATGTGGATTGCATTGAAGCAAAAAGTGCTCTGACTATAATGGAATCTCAATGATTGAGAGCAATGAACCATTTCGAGTCAAAGGGAATCAAAAGTCAAAATCAGATCTTTGTCAAAGAACAGTGTGGACATGTGGATAGATTGTTTCACAGAAGATTATCACCTCTTAGATTCGGGTAATCATAATGTCCTGTATTTCGCCATTTGCATTGTGGATATCAATTATGAAGAATTGAGGAGATGTTTTCCTCTCAGAATAACCTCAGATTTTGTGATAAGATTTGAAATTGAATCGCCTAGGGCACGAGGTAATTTCGGTTAGTCGTTTGTGATGAGTGGTTGTGCTCAATCGTTAGTTTTGTGTTACTCATTTTGGTATGATGGTCAGTTAGAGAGATGAACACCACTACGCTCGAAGACCTATTGGTTGTTCATCGGAGAGACAGAGGCGAAAATCTCCTGGGACCTGGAGTAATAAACCACAAAAGGACACAATCGGAAAAGCTCATAAGTGAAACTATTTTTCTGTCACAACGAACGAAAACCAATTTCTGTGTGTGGGTGTGTGCGGATCTTTAATTTTGTCAGTTTCTTAAGTTTCTTGGTCAGTCGGTAACCATGCGGTGAACGTTTTTAAACGAATTACAACTTGTCGAGGCCTTCGTCGCAACGTTATTGAGGCCGTTTTTCATCTAAAGAAGTCAATCAACAAATGTTCAAGTTAGATTGGCTACCACGATTTGGCCAATCCGAGTTCACCATAGCTAACCCATAGAGGAAGAAGAATGTTTACCTTCGATGACCTATATTATTCCACTTACATTTTATTTTAGAATATTCTCAATAATAACGATGTAGTGAACCGAAAATACGCACAAGATGGGTGCATATATTTACTTGACTCTGTTCGAAAATGCACCTTACTAACAGAACTATCGTTGACTGCAGATGCTTAGGAAAATCTTCCTTGAGCCATTATCCTTTGGGGACAATTATTCGAATGACCTTTTACAGTTGCATTTTGCGTTGGTAACCCAATTACTCTAAGGCTGTGAGAATTAGGCATGACAGAACATTCCCCCAAAAAACATTGTCAGATCAGGACCTGTACCCCAGCAGTCCAGAACTCCAGATTTTATGTCAATAATTTTTTGTAGAAGGGACTGAAGCCTCATGTTTGCACTCTGCAGCCGCAGTTTTTAAGTAAATTAAAACGAAGTAACACAGTTGCAACACAAAACATTCAATCAGGTGTACGTGACCTTGACAAAGTGAATGGATAGACGTGTTAAGGGCGAAGGACATTGCTGTGAACACTTGCTATAGCTACTGAGGAGGGAACAAGTGAAAATCTTTGCTCTGTTAAATCAACTGAACACATTCACATGTCATTCGCTTTCAGAGATCGATCAACTCAGCATCTTGCTCGCCGTGATAACCGTCTACTCAGGAAGGTTGACTATGAATGATTGGTTCACTTTTAGTGTGCATCAAGTTACTACGGCCACGGTGGCGTACTGAAGGGAACCTCTGGAATTTGTTAGTGTGAATACGTAAAACGATATTTTGCAAACTTTATTACAGATATCATTAACGTAGTGCTGCCATAAACAGTTGTGTAGATAGGTTTTCGAGAAGAGCGTGTATCATAACTCGTAGGTTACTTTCTAATCCTATGAGCTAGTTTTTCTCTTCATTCCCTGAAGAGAAATAAACTAGTGGTATTTACTTTTCACTGCGCTGACCTGGGCATTTGAATACCCATGAATTTCTCCCTTATCTCCCAACTCTGTCGTAGTTACAGGCTTCCTCTCGGACCCGTCTGTCCTCACTCTGAACCCATCCGTTTTGAAGAAAACATCCAACGCACTTGTTCACAGTTGACGAAGATTGCTTTTCGCTTTGTCGGAATAAGATAGTGGAAACTTTTGCACGTCTCCCGAACATTTAGATCTGATGCGTTAATCCAGATCAAGTGTTTTCTGTTATCGTTCGTTAGGTCCATTTTGCAATAGCTGAAAACTGTGACTTGTTGTTTAGCGAACAGCAAACAGACAACACAAAGTGGCCGACTCACCCGACCCCAAACACAAAAACGATCTACGAGGGTGTGTAGATGGGCTTATGAGATGTGATTACGCAATGTGACAGTTCCCTAGGCTAAAAGTGTAAATAAACCCCAGCTGAAACCCACTCAGCAGTGTGCTTCCAACTTAGTGAATCCCCTGGTCGCACTATTAAACAGAAACTGAACGGTGTGTGTGCAAAGTGGTGACAGCTCCTTTGGGTTTGTGACCGGGATACAAACGTCTGAATTCAGCGTTTCTCAATGACCATAGATGAATTCCAATTTCCCCATCATGCTTACATTGGTGAATAGTGGAACGACATCCAATCTAAGCATCGTCTTCTATTTCGGCTACAAAATGGAAACTGTCTCGGAGACATGTGTGGTGTCTACATTGACCAGGTTCTAGTAGTTTGACCCACTGCGTAGTAATGGAATTGGAATTGCTCGCCCACCCACTCGTTTTCTCACTGCTACCATGCGAATGCTCAAACAAAAATAATAATTGCATGTAGACATGAGGAGTAAACCGACTTGTGCAGTTCCCTGTTAACCAATTTGCTGGCGTGAGAGATTTTCCATTTCAATCGTGACGGATGCGATCAGTTTTTATTCTGCGCTTACATAAGGGGCAAAATTAAAAAATACCAACAAATTTAGCGGAATTCGATCACGTTATTTTACGGTTAAGCTCAGTGCCAACGGCAGTCAACTATTTGAGATGTTTGGTTTAAAGTGGTACCAATGTGATAGACACTACATCTGTGACGTAGGTAATTAAATGCAAAAATGGCGTGAAAATGATATTTCTCTTAATTAAACTCTCTGAGCTACGGTCAACGGTTTTCATAGGTATGCAGTTGATACCTATGATTGAGAAATTCACCTTTTTTCTTTCATTACACAAAGGTCAAAAACACCGCAAGAAGAGCGATATTGTAACTCGCCCCGGAAAGTACATAAAGATTGAGCAATGCTTTCCAAATGTCCTTTTTTCCTTAAATATACCATCACACGCGATCATCATAAACATCACCATGTTACACATTCTCCCGATGGTAGTTATCCATTCTCGACAAAGCTTGCAAATTCTGCATTCACACACCTTTACAATGAGCATCGAAAAATAGGCTTTTCATCTTGTTATTTTCTTATCTTTATTTTTTCTCAACCGATCCCACCTGTTATCGAACCAAACACATCCGAACACAGTCCGCCTATCCGCCATCTCATTATCTCCGTCGTGTTCCCCAACGTAAAGTCCATCTGTTTACCATCACGCAACTGATTCAGTTGGGTTTGCTTTGCGCCATCGGTTTTGCCCCGAGCCCGTATGTGGAACTGGCTTTCCCGCTGCTACTTGTGTTGCAAATTTTTGTTCGGTAAGTTCTAACCGCTCGCAACCAGTTTGGCACCAAAAAGTGCTATGCTTGTGTTGTTTTGACGTTTCACCAGAGTCCTAACCTAAGTTCGTTTTGTCCTATTTCGAATACACACGCGATATCTGAAGACAATAACGATTCTGAAAAGAAAAACAGAATTGTTAATTCCTGAATGAATTTATTCTGAATATTGCTCTGTACGGTTGGAGTTTCTTGTCATTGAAACCTGCTTCAATCATTGTCAGATGGTTTTCCTGTGTTTCCTTAATACTCCTGAAAATTGTACACGGTTTCTGGCAGACTAGTAACAGAAGCCGAATTTAACTTGTTCTTAATATGGATTGAATTTAAACAGCTTATTTAACGCAAACATAACGAGTAACGGTTTAATTTGGCACATCAAAAGCACATGATTGTGTGATGAGAGAATAATTACAATGACGTACGGTATTCACATCTTCCTAGCCCTAAATTATTAGCGAAGAAGAGTTTGTTTGGCTAGGAGGAGGAGGAGAGTTAATACAGATTAACCCATGCTAACTGTACTTGGAACGAAATTTTTCAACATCGTTTCAAATATTTCTGCTGTCTTTAAGTCAATGTGGGGCCAACTCTATTGCTGCAAAATTAGCTCTGCAGTGAGTGCATTTCACAAGATGTACCAAGTCATTCAGATTAGCCATTTATTTCAATTGGTGATCGAACGGGATTGCTAAGTATATATATATATATATATATATCGTGGCCAGTATTGAGAGGGGTCAAATGCTAAAAATCATTTTCCACCCAAGCAGATATTTTCAGAAGCACAACTAGTCCTTTTCGTTATGATAGTGATGACAATGAAAACGTTCTGTGATTCCGTGTGTAGCGGAAATTTTGTTCTACGATAAAAACTGGAGATACAACTCGAAGACCCTAGACGATTGTTTCTTGCTGTTTATTAATTCAAACCAGTTGAAGTCAATTTGATGAGCAGCAGTTACACGATCCGAAATGATTCTGTTCACCGATTGAAAGACAGTGCAAGGAGATCTCTTTACAAAACTTGCGCGGAAACATATTTGTCAGGTACAGTCCCTCGGGGCAATTTGAGGGACCCGCGTTAAACAAAATGATACTTAAATGATTCTCACAGGGTATACACATGTCTTGTTGAGGACATTAGCCCAGTTTGCGATCAAAAAACCCCTTTACATTGCTAACTAACCCAAAACGTTCCGTTTTTAGTGCAGCATTGTGTACAAAACATCAGACAACACTTATACAAACTTAGCGATAAAATCTTCACAGTCATAATGGTAGTAACATATCACTTGATCATTAAAATGTCTCCACCAACAATGTTTCTATTCTACGCAAGACGTATTTAGTCGCTTTGAAACTGACGAAAGTTTGTTTATTTATCTGATGTAAGAGAATAGCAATCGAATGATTTTTACATATATCGTCTAGTTTAATAAATACGAATGTTCATCCAGAATTTCCTTCCTGGCTGATGCAGAACTGTTTTCTCCTACCCGGATAAGAAGTTTGCGGATAACCTATCCACATTCCAGTGTAATCCAAGGCTTTTCCGTTGATTTACTCATTATCTTTTTCTGTGCTTAGACAGATGATTACGTCATTTACCCTGAGCTAGGAAATTGGACAGGAAATAAAATGCCTGACACTACGCACTTAAAGCCCCGTTAAGAAGTCGTTTCGTCAAAAAGAAAATCGAAGATTTGTTTAACCGGAATTCCCAAGTGCATCCTGTGATATTTTCTGTCTATTTTTGCCGATATCTCCGGTCATCTCTCATTGCAATTGTGGTTCTGTTATATTTCAGACACAAGATTATTCCCCGGATCATTGAACGCAAATATTTGGATGCGCTGGATCGTTCCTTTTGATTGATAGCCACTTATAGATCACAAATAGTTAATAAGAGAAACAAAACGTTTTTCACTGAAAATCGTCTGCTCAGCGTTTCTTTTTCGTTCCCCCTTGAAATTGAATATTTTTTGTTAACCGCGAATCACTTGCACTACTCCTGTTTGAATCTGTGTATTTCTCCCGCGTACCGTTTCATTCTATCCTTCCGCTCATGTCTAAATTGTGCTCATATCTTCTGTTCTCCCATTTACGCCCACGCATTCTCTCCCTCTGTCCCTTTGTCGTTCCCTGCCTCTATCCTGCTGTTTCCGATTCACCATACACTAAGTTGAGCCGTTACGTCCCAAACAAGGCAATCACTAAAAGGAATCATCATATGCTGTTTTTCCATATACTCTATTCCTCCACGATTGACTATAGTGTCCCAATCTTTACCATATGTCGGTTCTTCCTCAAGGCACGCGTTTGCGCTAACCCTCATCTCAGAAATTCCAATCACACGCATGCACAGATTCATGCGCACACATACACACCAAATGATGGACGTTCAGACAGAGTTCACATTCTGCGTAACAAGAGATGATCGGGAACACAAGCGTTACTAGATGCAAGCGAATTCAAATTCGTTTTAATAATTAGACATTTATCGTTCACACACTCAATTACACACATATACATACATAAATATATACATACATGCATACATACATGCACACATACATACACACATACATACGCACATACATACATACTTACATAAATTTATAGACTATTTGTGCATTAAAAATCAATTCCTACAGATTGAAAAAGACATAGTAAGTCGTTTGGACTTCCTAGTAAACTTGACAGAGTCTGATTTGAATTAAATAAATCGTGAGAAGAACATTTATGTATTGATTTTCTATCATGATCCATAATCAGTGGAATTCGACAGTTTTTGGCGACAAATGTAATGTCTGTGCATTATTGAACCTGTCAATGGTGTACCATTTACCACTCATTTGTAGCACTTTATTCAAACCGCTGATTGGATCAAATTTCGAGGAAGAAATAGCCTACAATTTTTATTTGTATAACATATGAAGGTTTATTGGTCTATATTTTGGCGAAGCATGTACACTGGTGTTCACACCGAATAAAACATATAAAATAAGAGAACATGTAACGGGGAAGATGTCGCTAAAGTTTGGTTTATGCACAGGAATCGTGACACAATTCGTTGACAAGCTGCTCCTTATTGGTCAGCAGTTGGATACGTGAATTCTTATGTATTTTAATGCGAGAGGGTGAATGAAAAAAGCAATTGACGTGTGGATGGCTGGGAGTGACAAGTAAATAAATCAAGGTGCAGTGAGCGAAGAGGTTAGTCTGGAATCTTACTGTTGAAGGTGATACAACAGTAAGTCATGTGATAAATCGATCAACAAAAATCAGCTATATGCAACTAATTATCACAGAGAATGGTTTTGAAGTTTTGTGTTAAGGGGCCGGGAAACACTACGGGGTAATGAAGTAAAATAGGAAAAACGTATAGGCAAACGGAAGAAAACAAATCTGACTTTAAGTTTCGCAATTATTTCTGTTCCCGTAGTTAAAACGAAAGGTATCAAAGTTTCATCATACAATTGTGATTACTGTTAGTCACGACATCCAGATGCTTGTTGTAAGTCAATCTAGAAAAAGGGTTACAGTAAGGGATGTAGAATCCATCTTAAATGTGGACCCGGAATGACTGCAAACCCAGTATAGACACTTGGATCTGTTACAACTAAGACCATACTGGTTTGAACGCTTTTGGATTCAGGAAAGATGTGCATTGAAGTCATCAAATTCCGAAAACGAGCAAATAGTCTGACTCAGTACGAAATCGTTAATATCTTTTTGGATATGGGGGGGGGGGGGGGGTGGGGCCGAGTGTTGATCCTGAACATGCTTGGCATGATGATATTGCTAATTCAAACGCGGTAAAATCCAGACTAAACGGCAAGCACAAGAGTGTGGCGCAGTTAATCGAAGGGAGTGATGAGATAACTCAGAAAACGTTCTCCTTAGCTGCGACATTAGTCAAAATTTTGGGAAATACTCGTGCAATCGAATGTTTTTTTCAATAAAGGAAAGCCTGCAAAACGGTAGGTTTTGATGCTGTAATACCGCAGGTTATGAAAAATCGTTGATATTGATAAAGAGAGATATAATATTGGTTATTTTTTTCGAGTGAATCTTTAATCCTTATCATTTTTGTTCTTCAGTGGTGTTGGGTAGCATGTCTGACGAAATTTGACTACCACATTGATATTAGTCATGCTATGTGAAGTTTCGAATCACAGTTTTGTTTTATCTCGTACGCTGATGGTTTGTGCAATCTTGAACGGCACTGTTTAGTTTATATAGTGTTATCAATGCAATAGGTGAGAATCAGTTGAAGCGGAACTGAAAAACAAACAGCTAATCGAACTATTCGTTTTTCAGACCTGAATGAGGTCCTTCTAAAGCTATCTTCTATTAGTCAGAATGCAAACGAAATGCAGTAAGCTGGAATCAAGTCAGAGTGAGTCAAGCTAAAATAGATTTAATAAGCCAATTAGATGAATTCTTTGCGCCTTGAGCAAGATGCAGAAGAGAACGTGTGCATAGGACACAACTAGTAGCAAAAGGTGCCAAAAGAAGAGAAAAGAAACATTATCATGATAGTGGGTTAATTAAGTCCATAGCCAAGGATGGACGGGGGTTGTCAGGTGGTTAAGTTACAAAATTTTGAATCCGGGTTCGAACCGCTCCACCGTCGCCCGTCTTCCCTAGTTCTGTATTTCCCCAGGCAGTCTTTGTATAGCCATAGCCCCTCTTCCTGTATTTTGACTGTATATTTGTATATTCAACAAATAAAAAAGGAAGTAGAAAGACGGTTAGAATTTACATTTACTTTCTTCCAGGTTACTGCATGTTACTGCATGTAGTTGATATTGTGTGTGTATGTGTGTGTGTGTGTGAATAAAAGCGTTATTAGGGACTCAGAGCAAAAATGCGACAAACATTTATTAAAAAAATTACAAAAGCCTTGCGACAGGAAAAAAACTCAATGAATCTCTCAATTTAGATCACCTGTTCTTTTAGGTAGGAGAGAAATACGAGAAACGAAAGTAAGTTATCTAAGAGAATATATACTCTCACTATCCGAGAATTGTATATTACGAAACGGAAAGTATTCCAGATCTGAAACAGTAGAACGGCAGACTGTCATCGCCAATGTAAACATCTTCAGAATCTTTGGATCAAAAAAGATTATATGACGGATTATTCATGGGTTTCTTGATAGAATCGATAACTTAATAGGAATTTAGGCAAACTAGTAAAAAGTCTCATAACGAGCGTTATAAGACCAAAAGAAAAAACACTTTATATAAGCACTCAATATGAGGGATTGAGTCACAGATCAAATGTAAAGGTGGCTTAGGACAGTTTTACCCCTGACAGAAACTGCCAAGACCCATGGAAAGTCATCGTGACCAAGTCACAAGCACACTTGCAAGCAAAGTTGAGATGAAAGGAACTTGAAAACCCTCCAAGGTAACTTTTGATAGCAGGTGTTTTTACCGTTGCAAATAACTGTACCCTGTGCCTGTCCTGCGCAACAAATTTTAGATCGCAAACGGCTGATACTTAGTGAGAATGCCACTGTCAGACAATCTAAAAACGGTGAAACAAGCAATGATAGTAGAATAAACGCGACAGGTGGATCTAGGCATTCGAATAGAAGAAAAGTATCATTTGGTTCACAAACCTTCTTAGGAAAACTCTCAACAGCAATCGGAAGATACTCCAACGAATTTTCCTTGCAGATGATTGTTATTTGGGCAGAAAATTAGCGTTTAGAAATGTTTCCAGATTATGTGTATGAAGTCAGCCACTAAGGAATAATTAAGTGACACGGAATATCGAATCATGGGCACCTGTTTAATGAGATTTTATGTGCTCTTGAAACCTCCA